ACATGGAGAACAATGAACTAATAAAACAAACAGAAACTAAACAAAAAATATATATTCCCATGGCATTTAGTGGTTTAAATGACAGTAAATTATCTTTTAAAACAGCGTGGGGATTACGAGGGGGTCCCTGGAATTTCTTTTGCCCTTGTAAGGGGTCCCCAGACCCAAAATATTTGAGAACCCCTGGTCTAGAGATGGACTGAGGCGATGACATAAAAAGATTTTCCAAACTATTAAAGTTTCTAAGCTCAGAGGGATTATTTTGTTGGGAATCCCTACAAATGAATGAAKAAATCAACAAAACCCAACAGAGAATTGGCTCTAAATGTAACAAATGTCTGGTTAAATTAAAAGACATTAGATGATTCTTCCAAAGCAAAACGTCCACAACTCCCACAAATTTCATCAAACAAGTCAAACTTTCTATTGTTCTGAAGATAACCACAATGATTGGCATTATTTGGTAAACTTGGTCATTTAAGAAGGGTTCGAGCTTTTATTTCTTGAACACCGGTTCAGTTTCCAGACGTTTTTGCCCTTGGTGGAGCCTCTCCACACGGCTGTGATGTGCGAGGGACCCGTCGTTCTCTTCGTCTCCCAGTTTGTCGTTCATTCCTGGACACGGCGCTGGGAAGCAGAGAGACGGACTGACACGTCGCTGTAATGGGACTGAAAAGGATGATAGATCGTTTCATTCACCCTCCGACATGCTCTGTTTAGCCCCACCACAATCCCAGTGATTTATTGTTTCAAAGCCACGCGTGTCGCCACAAAAATGTGGCCATTAGGAAAACTTTTCGAGTTTTCCCTCATGACTGCTTAAACACAGAACAGAGGCAGTTTCTTTTAATAAAGTTTCATATTGTGAAGAATGCAGCCGCATTTTAATCATAACTCAAGGTCACAAAATCCCTTTCAGTTTGCCTGCAGCGACGCTGTTGAATAATTTATCTGTTTGTTTTAGCGTGGAGCGAGAACACTTAACTGTCAACACTGTCTGTTAGCAAAATATCTCATGAGCCAGCACTCAGATGTTAATGAAACTCCCAAGAAGTAATCACTGGATGTGCATCTACAGCTAACTGAGTGAAGGTTTATGCACGTATTCTTCCACAGTTTTTGTGCTTTTTCAACAATTCATACATCAAAACGTTCAACTCATTCAGATCATTCCTGCTGTAACATTTTGTTTCTGTGCAACTTTTAGCTTTTAAAATATTTCGCTTTTTCAGACACAGTTTTCTAATAGAAAATGAAGAGTTTCAATCAAACTCTTTGCGGTGTTTACGGCTCATTTCACCTGTCGCTCTGATTTGACTTTTTTCAGCTTGTTTGTGCTCATTTCAGCTTTTTTTTTTGTTTTGTTTTGTTTTGTTTTTCTTAACTTCCACTGCTAGTTTAAGCTTTTATGCTTATTTCAGTAGGCTTTCTAATAATTCTAGCTTTATTGTTTTGACTTTTTTCTGAGCTAATTTCACCTTTTTTGTGTTCACATCAATTATTTTCTCCTTAATTCAGCAAATGTGATGTTTCTTTTTTTCTGCCAATTTTAGCATTTTTCTGCTTTTTCATCTCCTTTTTCAGCCAATTCCCACTATCTTTCTGCTTATTATTTTCTGCCTGCTAAATTAAGCTTTTATTCTCCTCTTAGTGGCTTTCCACTAATTTTTGCTTTTCTCTATCTTTACAGGGACTGATTAACTGTTTTGTCTGCTAATTTGATCTTTTTTTTTATTTTTTTTTTTTCAAATTGATTTTGTGTTCATTTTCAACTTTTTTTGATTAACTAAGCAAACATGCTTCATGTTTTTTGTTAATTTTAGCGTTTTGCTGCTTTTTCAGATGCTTTATAGCTGATAAAGTATTTTTGATTTTGAATTTCTGCTTTGTTTTTTAATTTTCTGCGTTCACACATACTTTTTTTCAGGAAATGCTGTTTCTCTAGTTAGCTTTTGGAACCAATTCAAGATGGCTGCCACAGCTCACTGTAGGGGTGTAAGAAAATATCGATACACTGAAATATCGCGATATTTCA